GGGTGGGGCGTAGAGGTTGGTGCCTTGGTGGACAGCACCGCAGTAGCTGTGGCCAGTGATGGCCCCGGCGAAAACGGCAGCGAAGCCGGGAGCCTACCCCCCGCGCTGGGAACAGCTCGGCTTGGCTGTCCCTGTCCCTGTTGACGGGCCACACGCGACAGGAGTGCGTTCTGACGCCCCGGCAGGCCGATCCACAACGAGATTTTTCCCCGTGTGTCATTATAAAAGATCGTAATTTTTTATGTGTCTCTGAAAAAATTCAGCGATCTTCAACATCATTACTTCAACTTTTTCGTGTCATCCATACCACTTCCGTCAGTTTGGGCTCTAACGCCGTCAAACTGCAGGTGTGAAAAGACGAAAATGCCCTTAAGTTCAAATATGTTATTAATTTTTTTGAGCATCTTAATGACTTCAAATGAAAAAACTCAAAACTAGAAAGTTGTAGATCTCGTCGAGATCTATAATTTTCATATAAATTTTTTCATTTAATTCCATAAAAAAATATGATTTGATATGATTAATATATCTTAGAAAAATCATATTTTTTTTTTGGAATTAAATGAAAAAAATTTATATGAAAATTATAGATCTCGACGAGATCTACAACTTTCTAGTTTTGACTTTTTTCATTTGAAGTCGTTAAGATACTCAAAAAAAATTAATAACATATTTGAATTTAAGGGTATTTTCGTCTTTTCACACCTGCAGTTTGACGGCATTAACGTCCAAACTGACGGAAGTGGCATGGAGGACACGAAAAAGTTAAAGTAATGGCGCTGAAGACCACTGAATTTTTTCAGAGACACACAGAGAATTACAATCTTTTATAATGACACACAGGGAAAAGTCTCATCGACAAATCTGCCTCTGCGTGCCGCTCTGAACCTTGGCCCCCGTTCGCCGCCATCTCCCAGCCAGGCGAGGCTTTCTCCCACTCCCACGACCTCCCGATGAACAACCGTCTCGTTGCACATTGCTGCCGACTGCCGGTCTGCCGCGCCGTGGACCCGTGGCCCAACAGTGCCTGACCAGGGGACTGCTAAGGTCCGGTCAATCGGACAGGATCCACCCGCCGGCAATTATTGGCGCGCATTTTTTTTTTGGCTCGCAGCGCGCCGCGCTAATTAGCTCGCTGGCAGCTTTCCCGCGCTGGTACGGCCCGCAGCGCGCGCATGTAGCGCACGCGAGCAGCAGCACACCCACGTCAGCTCTCTACGCATGCACGCAATGACTTTCAACGAACTAAAAAAAATCATAACTGTTAAACCAAACATATAAATTAAATTCTGATTATACTATCGTGTTCCTCACAATAAATGCTTCAAAACAAGATCACACATAGATATATTTGGATAAATTTTTATTAACAAACATTTATCTTATGAAGATGGAACATTTTCGTCTATTGAGCCAGGACAATGTTCTAGATTTAGAGAATAATGTTTCGTCTAGGTAGAAAAAGTGTTCTCATTTAGAAGAACAGTATTCTAGTTACAGGTTCATGCAATTTGTATTATAATATGCATAAAAATAAAAATAGTAATAACAAAAATGATGAAATACATAGAAAATTGTAAATAAATAAATAAATACATAAAATAAATAAAAATGATAAAATCTAGAACAAAGAATAATAAAAAAATAAAAACACGTAATAGAGAACAAATTAAAAGAACACCACATGGATATTTTTTAACATCCTAAAATATATCATAGAACATCACGTATATACTAGGTGAACATCACTAAATAAGTCATAGAACATCACATGTATACTAAGTGAACATCATAAAAAACATCAAATAATATATCATATAATATCATTTTATGTGAACATCACATGTATACTATGCGAACATCACAAAAACATCATAGAATATCACATACCACGTGAACATAAAACACATCATATAACATCACATATATAACAGGTGAACATCACAAAAAAGTTACAGAACATCGCATGTATACTATGAACATCACAAAAAAAACATCACATACATGACATTATATACCACGTGAACATCGAAAAAAACATCATAAAACATCACATCTATACTATATGAACATAGCATTGAAATATAAAAAATTAAAAAACATAAAAAATAATTAAGTAATATAAAATATAAATTATAAAATATAAAATGGAAAATAAAAAATCTATAGAAAACATAAAGACAAAAGAGAAAAGGAAAAAGAAAGAAATACAAAAAGTAATACAATATAAAAATAAAAAAAACAAACAAAATAATTAATTATAGTAAAAACAATAATACTATAAAAATATGAATAGAACAATAAAAATCACATGAAAATAAAAAATAACTTAAAGAAAGGAAATAAAAAATAATAAGAAAAGGAAAGGAAAAAGAAAAAGAAAAAAAAGAAACATAAAAATGAAAAATGAGAAGAATAATAAAAAATTGCATAAAACAAAAAATAAATATAAATAAAAATGAAGCACGAAAAGGAAAAGAAAAAGAGAAGAGAAAAGATTCCCGGCCTGACCAAGCCCCAAACGGGGAGGCCTGAACTCGCGGCGCGCGAGCATCCGCATCGTGTAACCACTGCAGATCAGATCAGCCGATGCTGCTGCTCCCCTTTGCCGCGTTGCTGTCATATGGTACGAGGGACAAAGCTAGTTGCCATGATGCAGGAAAATCAGGTCCCAAATAGAACACTTTTTCTCACCGATCCATGGAGCTGAAAGTTCTGTAACATAGAGCTTTGTGCGAGCCAAAGTTTTTTTTTTTTACAGATCACGGGCAAACACATGGAACAAGTTTCAGTCTTCCAAGCGGTGGCCGACTGGCCGGTGGGAAAAGACTGAGGTTCCTACTAACGATATTTATGAGATCAAACTCAGCAAATATAGGCCCTGTTCGCCTTATAATCTGTCTTTTTTTAAGTAGGAATAGTATTTTTCTCTCACAACAAATCAATCGGAACAGTATTTCGGCTTATTTTTTCAGCGAAGCGAACGGAGCCATAAGCAGTAAGGTCAATCTCAATGTAGGTTTTATGGGAGTTTCATGCACATTAAATAGTATACCACATCAGTAGAAATAGAGCTTTTGTATGTATACGTTTTCTTGCGGATGAAACGAGTGAGCGTGGTTTCCAAAACGTTGGAGGTGTGCTCTCGTTTCATCGCGGGGAGAGAAAGGAAGCAGACTCCTCCGTACTTTCTTCTTGGCTGCACTTTCTTCACCGCCGCTCCCGCCATGGCCCACTCGCCCCCGCCGTGGCCACGCCCTCGCCCGGTCCGGCCGTGTCCGTGGCTGCTGCCGCCCGTCCATGGCTGCCGCCACGCGCCTCGCCCGATGGCGCCGCCTCGTTGCGTGTTGGGGCTGGACGAGCAGAAGAGGCCGCGCCCGGAGATGCCGCCATGGCCGGCCGAGGCGCGACCCGGAGAGGCAGCCATGGCCCGTTGTGCCCCCACGTCGAGCCCCACGCGCCGTAGCTGCGACAGGACGGCCGCGCTCCCGAGCTCCGACGAGACGCCGTCGCTGCGTTGGCCGCCACCGTGAGCGCGCCCCGGCCTCCTTCCTCGCACGCTGCCGCAAGCGAGCCCCGGCCTCCATCCTCGAGCGCTGCCGGTTCTTCCTCGCGCGCCCCGGCCGCGAGCGCGAGGTCTGGAGAGGCCGCACCCACGAGCTCTAATGAGATGCCGTCGCTGCGCTAGCCGCCGCCCCTCTCCAGGCCTGGCTGCGCGCGCCCCGGGCACCTACCCCCCACGCCCCCACCCACCGGATCCGCGCACCCCTCTCTCGACGGCTACTCCCATCGTCACCATGGCGGAGTGCGCCCCTGCGTGAGTGCCGCGCCGCCGCCTGTGGGAGCCGCCAACCGCACGCACCCCGCCGCCGGCTGCCACGCCCTCACCCGCTGGCCACGTGCGTGGAGGTAATGGCGCGGGTGAGGCTGCCATGGTGCGAGCTCCGGCGATGGAGGTAACGTCGGGACCACCGTAGTATTAGCCTACTCCGTTTGCCCTAAATATATGTCGTTTTCAATTCCTAGAAACAAATTTGACTAAATATATATTAAAAACTATTAATATGAAAAGATGTTTGAATCTAGTTTTTTAATAAATTTATTTAGAAATAAAAATATTACACGTATTTTCTACCAATCGAATTAAACTTATGGCGCGTACACCAACGGCGACAGATATTCAGGGACGGAGAGAGTATAAAACTGTAAAATAAAACTATACATTGAGAGACATCGTTTCATTCTCAGAACTGCGAGGTAAAATCTCCTGCCAAGACTAGCCTAACCCAGGCACATTGTACTATATACATATATAGTCCGTAGTCTTCTGTGTTTCATGGGAGAGCGCGCCGTAAATGTCTCACTTAAATAGCTTGTTTCATGGGAGAGCGCCTAAGTAGTGGTTTAACCTCGAGTGACATGAAACAAGCTTGTCTTTGGGCGTTCCACCACCACCTGTTCGGGATCAGATCTCAAAGCTTCAACCTATGTACTCAAAGCACTTCCAAGCAAGATCTCAACTAAGACAGTACACTTTTCAAAAAAAAACTAAGGCCGTACAGAACGCGACACTGTCGACACACACAAAAAAAACTTCCACAGCTCCAACAACGCCTTCAGCATCGCAAAAGTTTGAAAGCTCCTGCAACTTCAGAACTGTTCCATTGTTTCCGTGGAAAATATGCACATCAGGCTTTACCCTCTACACTTTATATGCACAAAAAGGCTGCACTTTGCCGACTTCTCCCTGTTTTGCGCCCTATTCGCTTGAACTTACCAGCTGTACTGTTTCAGCGAAATAACAGTGTTTTTCTCTCAAAACAAATCAGCATCAGCATCAGCCGTTTTTCCAGTCCGCCGAACAGGGCCTTGATTTGCTCCCATGATTTAGGCTGTAGCCCATGCTGGACTACCAGATCTGACATTTTTATGCAAATAAATGTCAGAAGCAAAGAGACTTTAAAGAGGGGTGCTGGATACTAATCACTAAAGTCACCTCTCTATATTAACGGGAAGAAGATATATTCAGCATAGAAGAGATTCCAGATGAACCGGTAGTACTGCGAAATAGCATCCTGCAAACAGATGAAGGCAACCATCTATGTCAGAACAAGATGGCACAAGTGGTTCTGAAACAAAACAAAAAAAAAATCTTTTTAAGGTTTTTGATCCTATCAGATATTGCAATAACTTTGTATCTTATACTCTCAGAAAAAAAGGATTCCAGATTCAAAAGAACAATTGTAATAATGATAGTACCATTTCATCCTGAAGCACCAAATACATAATTCACATTCGTTACATGCAATCTTGAAATTCTTTTTGCTTGTTTCCCATAAGGATAAATGGTCAACTTTCAGTTTTTTTTTTAAAACGAGCTTGTGGCATTTTGTAGTAATAAAGCAGAATGCACAAATCAATACCTGAGTACGCATGCTCACAGGCAAAATTATTGTGCTAGCAATTTTAGTCTTTCTTTTTAGATGAGTTTTTTTTTATTGTATGCCTATACTTTAGTTGCGAAATATGTATGTTGAAAACTTCACCTTTGTGTACTTCACTTGCGCCAGAACCCATGTCTGAAATCATGGAACAGAACAAACAAGTTAGAATAAAAAAACACAGAATTCCTATAGAACCAAGATCTTATGCTAGGTATGAATGAAATTTTTTGTTCATTTCTCAATAGCAGTTGCAATTCCTTGGGAACTTATGTGCAGACTTGCTTAAGCAGTACTCTAGTGTTTTGACCAAGGCACTTTGAGCCTCACAACCCATGAAATTACCAATGTAGTTCTATATGATCGATAAAAAACAAATAGCTAGGTACTAGAAGCACAAACAATGCCCATTACAACATTGGCTAATCGCCTAGCATTGAAGCAAACAGTTACGAGTGTGTTTACCTGGAAAATTAAACCAGCTGCAAGGACAGCGTGCACAGGAACCATTACAGTGCGCCTGAAAGCCTGCATATTGGACAGCATAATTAGTGCACATTTGTCAGGTAATGCTTCTTATATTAAAGCATGCAGAATTTTCTGGGAGACTCCAATGAACAGACCAACCATCCTTAAGATAAACAATATCTTTGCTGATATAGTTCAGAAATATAAAACATTTAGGCATGAGCATGAAAATACTGCCTATTAAACAGATGTACAAAATTACAGTGACAAATCATCAGTAAGATGAATGCATGTTATGGCATACATTTAAACGAAAAAAAAGATAAGCAAGGTAGGAGAAGGGTAAAAAAGGTGCAATATTAAGTATTAACAATGGATAAGTGACAGGATGGAAATGTATATTGTAAGTTTGTAACTGTGAACAACAGTAAAGGATGACAATAACTTTTGTAGTACAATTGCACTTCTTTGTTTGTATCAGTTGAATTAGTTATATCTGAAAACAAGGTACTGTAAGAAATGACAGTAAAATGTATACTATTTACAACACTTGCTATGTTTATGTCTCTCTGTCTGGAATGAGTAAAGAAGCTTAAAGGAAGATTAGAAGTACAAGCATGGTAACCTGAGGCATGATAAAAGCTACAGCAATAGCAGCAATATAGTTTGCTAATAATAAACCAGATCCAAGGAATGCAATATTTCTGACACCAAGCTTTGTTGCCAAAGTTGATATTTGGTACCTGGTGGGAAAGACATTATACAAAGAATGTCAGCAATTCAACCAATGATATTTCTTTTAGAAGGTTCTCTTCTTGATGTTTTTCAATCCTAATTGAATACGAAGACTTCAAAGTTAGAATATATAATTCACTTACTAATATCTGCAAGTTTCACCCCCTTTTTCTTGTCTCCGTGAAATCTATTTGTATACTAAGCTTGCTTGTTTTAGACAGCTCACGAGCTCACCCTATTTTCCGAGTGGGCAATACTCGGCCAAATCTGCATATGAGAGCCTTTTCATAGGTGCTATACAGTTCAGGCCTTGGGAGAGAATATGGAAAACTTGGGCACCTGCTAAATGTCGTTTCTTTTTGTGGTTGGTCGCTCATAATCGCTGCTGGACGGCAGATCGTCTTGCGAAGCGGGAATACCTAAACCTGAGCAATGCCCGTTATGTGACCAAGAAGAAGAAAATATCAATCACCTCCTCACTTCCTGTGTCTTCACTCGACAATTTTTGTATATCTTTCTTAGGCAGGTCGGGCTTCACTCTCTTGCTCCTCAACCTTCGGATCAATTCTTTAACACTTGGTGGGAGACAGTCAATGAAGCAACCAGTGGTATGGTCCAGCATGGGCTCAAATCTCTGATCATATTGGGCACTTGGATCATATGGAACCACCGGAACCGTTGTGTTTTTTGATGGTATGATTCCTACTGTTTGTCAAGCCCTGATCATGGAAGGAGAAGAGCGTTGACTTTGGTCTATGGCCGGGCTAGAGGAATCTCCTACCTGACTACCCCCATGGCCGGGTGTTGATTGGTGTTTTTTTAGACGGGCCGCGTGTGCATTAAAGATACACCCACCTAGGAAAAAACATTTACGCACTTTGTTTTCCTTGTATTACTACAGATTTGATAAGAGATTCCCGAGCAAAGTTTTGAGTAACTACTAGTGATGCGCTGAATCAAAGCAGCATATCAGAATAATATTTTTGCAAGAGAAAAATATGCCGCCATAAGTCCATATTAAGAAGTTTTTCTTCTTAATATAAAGATACGCAGTTCTCCTGTGTGTTCGAGAAAAAGAACCATGTGAAGTTAGAAACTCACTTGCGATCTCCTTCAACATCAGGGAGATCTTTGGTTATAGCAATGACCAAAGCAAATAGTGTCACGAAGCATGTAATGAAAGCAACAGGGGAGCTGCACATAGAAAAATATAAAACAAGTTAAATATCATGATCATCTCAATGTTTGTCAGTTAGATGATGCACAACTTGTACCACTGCTAAGGGGCATGAACTACGGAATGTCTAAATATAACCTGAATGCAGAAACAGCTCCAAAGAAATTTCCAGTTTACCTCCATTGGAATGTAAGACCTAGTGCAGCCCTAGTAGCATAGTACACGCCAAAGTTGAGAAGGAAACCGCGAACCTAATAAATTTTTTTGAAACGTGGGCTCGTCAAAAACATACGTATAATATATGAATTGTCTATTAAACATGGAATCTAGGAAAAAAGATCAAGCAGCATAAACCCAGATTAATAAGTTCTGAATTTGTGCATTATGTGCCAATTGTAACTGAGTTTCGAACTACCTCAGTATTTTGTAAAATAAAAAGATGAAAAAGTTGAGGCAAAATCTGCAGTATTTCATAATTTGTAAGAACTAAGAAGGCCTCCTGAACGTTCTTTTCCTAATAAAAGTTGGTATTACTTAACCTTAACAAATAGGTTTGATGCTGCCGTTATTTTCAAACTGTTTATTTTTACCAAGCATAGTCTAATCAGGAACAATTTGATATCAACTATGTTATGAATGAATCAAAACAAAGAAAAGGAAGCAGCAGATTTTTGTTTTTTGAGCAAAAGAAGAAGCAGAATTTCAATGATGTTACTAAAATAAAATATTAAACACAGAGAAGGGAGGAGCAAAGCACCGTTGCGATGATAAGAAAAGCAGCAACAGGATATCTCTTCAGTCTGAATGGAGGAACAGAATATATAGTGCCAAGAAATAGGCCAAGGCAGTATAGAGAGGTAATGAAAGGTCCAAAGTTCGATATAACAATTGAAAAACCTGCAGCTGCAAATAATATCACCAACAACCATGCTGATTCAGCTGAGAGATCACCGGCAGCAATGGGTAAATATGGTTTGTTTACCCTGTACAATAGCATAAAATCAGAAATGCTTGATGTGCAAGAAAGAGTTGTTGGAAATATTTAACTTCCAATATTAATTCATCCTCCCTCCGCAGATTGTAAGTCGTTCTGACTTTTCTTAGATACATAGCTTCAATGTTTACAAGTCGTCCGATTAATTGCGATTAATCATGATTAGTTGTCCTAATCGGTCCCTGGTGACCGATTTGGGTTGGGCTACCGATGCGATTAGCTCGATCAGAAAGCTGGTCGTCTGATTAGTCGACGACTAATCGAGATTAGTCGTCCGACTAGGACAGGGACGACCAGTTTGGCTCCTCTGTTCTTCCTCTCCTTTCCTTCCTCTGTTCACAAGTCTGAACTATATTGCTTATGCTTGCTTGGATCTTGGCTTGGATATACTCCTTTGATGTGGTATGCTGTTTGTGCTTGGATAATTGGATAGGGTATAAACTGCTCTGGGTAGTGCGGGTGGTGGCTGTTTGTGCATAGGCTCATTTGCAGCAAAAAGGAGGGGAATACTAGGCTCGACTAATCAGCCTGGTCGACGACTAATCACGATTAATTGCCTGGTCCGTCCCATGGCGACTAGGTTCGACTAGACGACTTGTAAACATTGCATAGCTTTTTTCTATGTATCTAGACATAATGTATATCTAGGTGCATATCAAAAGCTATATACCTAGAAAAGCCAGAACGACTTACAATTTGGAACTGAGGGAGTAAAAAACACCCTGATCATTAGGTACTAAAAACCAGCCAATTCATGGAAAGAGTATACATACTTGTCAATAGCAACATCATAGATCTGATTAATCCCAACTATGTAACCATTGCCACAGATCAACGCTACAAGCCCATAGAATGCTTTGAATAGCAACCACCAGTTTATCAGATGGGAATTCTCTATCAAGGCTCTCGCAACCAATGATCTGCATCAACCCAATGAAATCAGTACCAGAAGAAAAGGTACTCCCTCCGTCCACAAAAGAATGCAATTCTAGCACAATACCAAGTTAAAGTATCTTGAATTTGACTAACTATAAATAAAAAAATATCAATATTTATAACATCAAATAAGTATCATCAGATTTGTCATGAGTTATATTTTCATACTATACTTATTTGGTGTCATGAACATTAATATTTTTACCTATATATTTGATCAAACTTTAGACACGTTTAACCAAGAATGCACCTAGAATTGCATTCTTTTGTGGACAGAGATAGTACAACTTAGCTGACATTATAAATCTAATAATAGAGCGGTCGAAACTCACATGGATCCTAAAGCAGTTCCTCGGATTGTATGTGGCCTTAGAAATCTCCAGAAGGAATCCTTGAGGTCTAACAGTGTCTTTGATAATGGAGCAGGTTCAGCAGCATCAACTCGAGAGCATTCCTGCAAGAGGACCAGTAAAATCAATGTTGTCATACCATACAAAAAGATGTGCATAGTTTAGTTAGGTAAATACAGGGATGCCCTGAGTAATAGCAATGACGAGATCATTCATTCATAATTCTCATGAGTAATGTCATTAGTTATGCAGTATGGTCCAAAGGTAGTCATATCCTTCATACTTCGATTGACATCCATTTTTGTGGATCTCTGATGATAATTAGGGTAACTAGGTAATCAAATGGCTGACTGATGTAATTGACGGGCATCCATATTCACACTATCCAAGAAACTAAACAAATTAATCGGCATCCATGTTTACACTTTGCAAGTGTGTCTAATCTAGAAACATTGTTAAAGAGAGGGCAATTAAATTTACAAGGATGCAAAAAATTCAAGCAGATAGCAATGTACATTCAGACCACCGTTCTATGAATAGCTGAACACCCACTAACTTCACTAATATGTACAGTAACCTTTAAAAAGGCAAACATGAATCGCACATTTAGAAATAGCACTGCTATCGTGTGCCCCTCCAAGCACAAATGCAGAATAAGAAAGTCGTGGGATGTATATCTGACAACGGTTAGTGTAAGCTCTTAGGTATCGCAATTTATTTATCCTTGTCCTCCGTACAAGAGCTAGCAGCACACTCTACTTAAACAGTTGAATTTGGTGTGGAACTGACACTGGCAACAACGCTAGCAGTACAGTTTGATTGGCACGATTGCTGCAGAACAAATTCGGAAATCACTGGCGCTGCAGCCCGCTGCAACAGAAGAAGCACCGCAAGCAACGGCAGGGCGGCATTGGGCTAGAGACGGGGATCAGGCCATCAGGGGGACTTACCCGCACGGTGTCGCGGCGGTGCTCGCGGGAGGCACTGCAGGGAGCGCGAGGGGCGTGAGGGAAGCGGCCTGCGGAGGCGGAGGAGAGGAGCGGCGACGCGGACCGCGACGGGCTGAGCACGCGGGTGGCGGGGGCGGCGAGGAAGCGAGGGGCGGTGACGGAAGTGCGGGACGGGAGCGGAGGGGAGGCCAGGGGAGCCATGGGGAAGGGCCGGGGAGCCGGGCTTGGACTCTGATTTTTTTTAGCCACCCGTCGTCATTGGTGACGTCGACGCGAAAAGGCAAGCTGAGAAGGGAGTGAGGCGGGTGACGAGAGCCGTAGGTGTGTTATCCTGTGGCTACTGCAGTGCGGTGCTGCTGACAGTGTTATTTCTGATTTGGGGCCCCTTCTGATTTCTGCTCCCAAGTCCCAACTTCACTCCCACGGAGTAAAAAAAAAAAAAACTCACGCCCACGCCTACAGGATAACACTGTCAACAGCAGTACCATCGTCTAACTGGTTTCGCAACAAAAAAAAAAAATCTCTTTCTACGTATGTGCCTCTAGTTGTACCTCTCAATTATTTTGGCCCCACCACTTTCTCTTTCTACGTGGAAATGCCTTTTCATTCTTTTCCTTCTCTCTTTACTCTATCTTGCTTTTGCTCAGTTGCTCCTTGCATTCCTGAATTGTGGCATATATCTTTTATCAACCAAGCCTGCGCCTCCCTCTCTACCTGCTCATTATTTGGTTGGTTTTTACCGATTTGATTTGGTTTGGTGGTCTTTGGTTTATTGTGAAAGAAAAATCATTGTTGATTTGGTTTGGTTTGGACTGGCTGAAACCAACAAACGAACAGACTGTCTGTAGGGTACTATGACACCTTATGGAACCATTACTAGAACTGAGGTGGATGGAACAGGTTAGAACTCAGTCAGAGTGGATCATTGGAGAAGCGTCTAGAGGTCCACTAAAGTTGCTCGCAAAAACCTTTATGCTTATACGAAATGGATCTGCGTGTCTTAGCACATGTGAAGCATGTGGACTTCCAACTGTTTGTGTTGGCGAAGCTTGTATACTCTCAGTATCCCTAAAGGAATGCAATGCTAGAGTTGAGATAAGTGAAACATTTTTAAGTTTGATAAAGTTTATAGAAAATAGCAATCCCTCCATCCCAAAAAACTTGGCGTTTTGTGATTTAAAAAATGTCCTAAATTTTTTTATGTTATGGGTATTGGACATGCACTTTCTCTGCATTCATGCAACACACTTTAATTGGAAAATTAAACCATGACATCCCTCCTTTTAAGTAAATCTCCGGTAACAAAACATGCATGGGTGAGTCATTTCTTTTCTTCACTAACCTATTTGAGAAATCCTAGAACATCAAGTTCTTTAGGACGCAGGGAGTATCATACCTATGTCTCTAAATAGGTTTTATTATAAAAATATGTTTTATAAATAGTATAATGATATTTATTTGGTATGAAATTTAAAATTACCTAAAATTTTAGAACTGAGAATTATATATTTTTTTTAAGGGACCGAGGGAGCACGCACTTATCTTACTCTGGTCTTTTGTTCTCTTGTTGAAGCGTGAGGTTGTTCAGCCGCTGAACCAGGGAAGCATGCCAAATGTTACGACTAGTCGCCTATGACGTTTCTTTCTTTCTTTCTTTCTTTCTTTCTTTTGATTGAAGCCAAATTATTCGGTCATGGCGATGGCGAGTACCAAGAACCGCGTATGAACTCTCGGCACTAGCCCGTGTGGAGCGTGGACGCATGGCAGTGGCACCCACCACTTTAGCCATTTGCATGTGCAAGCGTCAAAAAATCTCAACGAAAATTATATTAATCATATCAAATTATATTAATCATAACAAAAAATCTCAACGAAAATTATATTAATCTCAACGAAAATATGATTTTTCTAAGATATATTAATCATATCAAATCATATTTTTTTGCGGAATTAAATGAAAATAATTTTTATATGAAAATTATAGATCTCAACGAGATCTACAACTTTCTAGTTTTGAGTTTTTTATTTGAAGTCGTTAAGATGCTAAAAAAAATTAATAACATATTTAGACTTAAGGGTATTTTCGTCTTTTCACACCTGCAATTTGACGGCATTAGTGCCCAAACTGACGGAAGTGGCATGGAGGACACGAAAGTAGTGACGCTGAAAACCGTTGAACTTTTCCAGAGACACACAGGGCATTGTGATCTTTTATAATGGCACACCGGGAATTCCCCCTCGTTGTTTTCACGAAGATCATCATAGACTCGCTGGCGCGGATATTAAAGCACTCATGGGCCAGCCCCGGGGAAACCGAAAATGAATCTCGTTTCTCGCGGGCTCAGCTGGTGCTGCGCTCTCCTGGGCCAGTTTTCTCCCTCGCCCTGTGACTGTTGCTTCTTGGCCCACTTCTAGTTCAAGCAAACAAACACCACACCCCTAGAAGGCTAGACCCAGCTGAGCTACGAAAACAAACATGACTCTGTGCACATCAAGAATCAGGCTGCGATTGTCCATGCCATGTTGGGCCACATGGGCCACCCTCGGCTAGGATTCCAAACAGGCCCTTTGTTTCTTCGCAGCCAAGCCCGTGTCGTGCGTTGCTGTGTCCCCGGTGTCGATTTTTGTGACTCCCGCTGCCTACCTGGAGATGATGCGAAGGTTTGAGTACCGCCAGCCAAACAAAATCTCCCGTGAGCCAAGCTAGGTGCCAACAATCAACCAAACAAGTTGGACTTGCATGCACAAGACCAGGCTCCTATGCCTGGCTCTTAGATACGGGACGGGTCAGCTCCAAACGAGAACCAATCAAGCTATACATCTCTCGGTGTGTTCAATGGGAGAAATAATAAAGCTAAAAAAATCCTCTCCTTGTATTTCTACATCATCATAATAAAGCCAACTCCACTAAATAGCGAACGTTTACCCGATTTGAAATGTTACCTATCCTTGTTCACCGTAAGACAACCAAGGATAGGTGACATTTCAGCCACGTGTTCACGTTTGTATAACTGTGATCTCTAGGATCAGGAATATAAAATCCATAGAAGTGCAACTTCAGAATGCTTGCAGGTTGCTGCTGAACTGGTTCAGCGCGAACTCCGCCTGTTGGGGGCGCGCCCGTACGGCCGTACCCCGCGCACTGCAGCACCCCGCCGCAGTCGCCCGTGCGGCAGCTCCCGCGCCCGCTCGCGTCGAACTGGCACCCCGTGTTCGCCCAGATGCGCGCCGCCGTCGTGCCCGCGGGGGCGGTGATCCGACACGTCTCGCCGCGGTTCAGCTGCCGCCCGCCACCCACCGGCACGGACGCTGCCCACACGGTGAAGGCGCACTGGTTCACCACCGTGAAGACCGCCGCCTCGCCGACCACGGCGAGGAGGTCGAGGGCGGCGAGGAGGAAGCTGCCAACGATCGTCACGGAAGCTACCATTTTATTGATGAATGCAGAACGTATACAGAGAACGAAGCATGTGGAATGCTTAATTTTGGATACGTGACATTAAAAAAAAATTGGATACGGGTGCGAGCACAGGGTTTTATAAAGACTGAGGGCCTGTTCTGGTCTTCTGGAATTATTCCGACCAGGAATGTTATGCTAATTTATACTATATTTGATCACCTGGAATGAATCATGCTGGAACGATGGTTAAACGAATGAGCCCTAAAGAGGACGGACTGGATGACCTGGAGAATCGGATTGGGATCGGACGTGGGAAAAAAATCAAAGCTGGTGGACTGGAAGATGTCACGCTGAGATTATTCACGTCCGATCGTGCATGGTGGGAATTCATGGTGGTTATGGCTGGAGAAGGACAGAAGGTTGAACAGTTTCAATGGAAATTGTCGAGAAGATTTACTAGCTAGCTAGAGCTACTAGGTACTAGCTGAGATTGTTTGACGCTCGCTGGCTCGCACATGCAAATGACTAAAGTGGCGCCATGCGTCCACCGGCTGCCGAGTTAGTGTACATGCCATAACCGAGTTAGGCTTCAACGTCGTAGGCGGCTCGTCGTCACATTATTTGGCAATGTTCCCCTGCCTCAGCGGCTGAACAACCTCACCCTCGAACGAGAGGACAAAAGACCCGAGTAAGATATTCCCTCTGTCCCGTTTTTTTTTCTTAAAAAGAATGCTATAAAATTTTTTAGTATAGATTAGTGCTCAACAAAAATTATCCATGTATCCCTACTTATTAAAGGTGAATCATGCTAATTAATGAATAAGTCCCTTCTTAAAAGGAATGCACGGAGACATAAAGACTGCAATTTGAAGTTGATGTGGCCAAATCTATTATCTAAAAGATGTCGCGCTGAGATGTCTGCGGCCTTCGGAAAGAGATGAAGTGTGGGGGTAGAATTGTTTTTTTTACTAGAAGAACTAAAATTTTAGACCACTTTAACTCACTTTTATGATATAATGGTCTAATGTGTTTTATGGGAGTTAGCTAAAGTTTAGACATTACTTTAGACTATCTGTTTGGAGACTTTATCTAAACTTTAGATGGTGGAATTCAAACAGACATTTAGAAAATGCATCCTAGCTTCGACCCAGTACCATTCTTACTGGTTGCTTTTCGAAAAAGACATATAGAGAAAAATACTATATGTCATCCAGATTCGAAGTGTGAATCCAGATCCAAAATTAGACCTAACACTAGCTTATTATTAACCCTTTCCTATGGCTAACACCACAATCGATGTGCTTAATTACAATGTAGTCACCAAACAATTATCACTTCCGTCTACGGTATTCTTGTAACATAAACCTTCCTTCTTCTAATGCAAAGATACGCACTCTCGTGCGCATTCGCGAAAAAAAAACACTAGCTTATTAGAATGACTTGAAAAATTGAAGAACCTAGATGATCACTTTGAGAGTTCATGATACTAGATGACAATGTAGAAAAAAGTTTAAAAATGAGAATGTAGAAAAAATTTAAAAACCCACGGTACATTACATTTTTGTTGAAATTGTGAAGCTCGTGCTTACAAATGAAGACCTCAAGGGTCGTATAAAAGCAACAAACAGCAAACCAAACAATGCTACAGATCATCGAATACATACAGCTGAGATCGAAATACACTGCGTATATATGAACACAACGAATCCTTTTACCTCCTATAATCAGCAGGCAATCCTTAATCTGCTGTCGGCCAGGTCCAACGCGAACCGTCTCATCCGTATACTAAGCGTTATGACTATCAAGCTTCCCTCTCGTCGTTTCTCCAGTTACCATGCATCTTGGGCCCCGTCGGCCCTTCCCCGACGAGCACCTTCTCCACCAGCTTGGCTAGCCGCTCCCTCACCGAACGCGGCAGGATCCTCGCGGCGCGGTTGATCTCGCGCCCGATGTCGTACTCCTCCCGCGGTCCCCACTCGCGCTCGAACCCGATCCACGCCGGCTCCTTGACGCCGAGGTACTCCGCCGACACCACTTCGCACCGCCCGGCGCCGGTGTCCAGCCTGCTCCCCCTGGCGCAGTCGTTCCGGATCCCGATGCCCAGGCTCGTGTCGCCCTGCAGCACCGTCCCTGCGTTCGGGTAGAACGCGTGCCCGTGCTGCGACGCGTACACCACCGGCCTGTTCCCGCCGTCCCCGTCGAGGTACTCCAGCCGCGACGCGTCCACCCAGGTGCCCGCGCTGTGCTGCGAGAAGTACATCCGGAGCAGCTCGCCGGAGAAGTTGCTCACGCGCAGCGTCACGTGCTCCCAGTCGCCGACGTGCTCGCCGATCTTGCCGAGCGGGATCGATGGGATGAGCCCGACCTTGGCGCGCGCCGGCCCGTTGAACGGGTAGAAGATCCACACCGCGAGGTCGGTCACCGTCCCGCCGAGCATCGGTTTCGCCTGCACGTACACCTTCGCACCGGCGAGGTCTCCCTTCTTGACCTTCTCCCTCTGGTTGCCGTCCACCGGCAGGTCGAGCCAGTACCCGCCGTCGTTGCCGCCGCCCTGCGGGAGGTTCGACCCGTCGGCGGCCACCGGCGTCGGGGTCTGGCTGCCCTTCTGGTACAGCAGCGCGCCGTTCTCGAAGAACCACGTCACCGACGAAGGGAAGTAGGGCTCGTTCGGGTGCAGGTACACGTGCGGCGCGTACGCCGAGAGGAGGGAGTTCACCTGGGCCAGGTCAGGCATGGCGGACGTGTAGCTCGCGCTGTTGTTCTTCAGACACGCCAGCGTCGACGCGCCCGCCGCCGGCGTCGCGCTGCTCTGGGCGAGGAACGTGCCAGCGTGAACGCCACGGGCGTCGATGCCGCGGACCGCCGGCCTCAGGGTGGCCGCGCTAAAGCCATCCTTGTCGCTGCTCAACACCGAGTCCTCGGTCTCGCACGCGTCGGTGAAGTCGGCACGGACGCACCTGACCTCGTCGGGCGAAGGCTTGTCCGCCGCGGCCGTGACCACCACGCCGACGGCCTTGTAGCCTTCGGGCGCCGTGGGGAGCCAGAAGTGGCCGGCGCCGTCCGGGCTGGACCAGACGAGGGCGTAGTCCACTGGCGCGGCAAGGAGTGCACAGGTGCCAGACGTGTCCCGACCGACGAGGACATGACCGAAGAGAGGCCGGTTGTTGGGCTGCGCGTAGTGGCCGAGCACGGAGAAGCCGGCAGGGACCGGCGAGGGCTTGAAGAAGGTGGCGCCAAGGCCGTCTTGGCCGGCCTGCGTGGTGGACCAGACCTTGGCAAATGCGGTGACTTGGCGCACCTCTAGGCCTCCAAGGTCTATGCTGCCCTTGGCAAATCCTCCATCTTCTGAAACTGAAACAGTGGTGCCACCGGTGAGCTAAGAAAATTTCAGCGCGGACAAAACCTAAGCTAAATTTCAGACTAGTGTGATAGTCAAATGTTCAGATGACTGACACGTTGCTTTTCAATCATTTTCATCTCAACCACTAGATCAAAACCAACAAGTAAATCGCATGTTTTATTTCTTTATGCACATTAAAAATGAGGAAAGTGGGAACAATTTCATAACCACAAGAATAAAATGTTTCTTGAGCCTTGCTACTTGCCTGTTCTTTTTTTTTTGAACGTAAGCTACTCGCTTGTTCTGAATAGAAACAAGCGTAACTTCAAAGCAACTTTGAGTTGGTGAAGGGTCAGTATCTGCTGGCTTCAGAAGCTGGAGCGTATCCTAGCTTGTTCTCATTTGATCATAGATGACTAAGAATCTATGCTTATCTTGTTACGTTTCAAAATAGTTGCAAACAAAGGATCAAACTAAAGGCGGACCATTTAATTAATGAATCTAGCAAAGCATGTTCTTTGACGTGATTGCAGGCAAACTGCCTCTACCTAAATAAAGCTTATAAAGATACTCCTATGTTCCAAATTATAAGAATGTATAAATTTTGCTATGCATATAGATATACACTTGTCTAGATACATTGTAAAGTCAATGGATCTAAAAAAGCCAAAGAGGCTTATAATTTGGAACAAAGGGAGTAACATGTGGCGTGTTTTTGCTGTCTGAAATTCTGAAGTGTCTGTCCTTTCTATTAGAAACGAAAGGCCACAAAAGAGCCTCCGTACAAGGAAAACAACCCCAGCAGGAAAAAATTGCGCTGATTGGACAAACTCACAAACAAGTTGAAAAGCACCCCTACTAGCTACTGATAAACTCAAATTAGCAGATTAACTACCATTCGTGCAGCGAATGTCTCGGGAAAACATGAATGGAAGTATTCAATGAGCTTATCAACATGATGTACCTGACGCGGGCACCGACGGTAGCCCAGCCGGAGGAACAAAGTGGTCCTCAATGGGCAGCGCCGCCGTCCCCATAGGCACGCATGACAAGCACGACCTGCTCCTCCGCATAACCCCGACGAGGTTGACCGGAGAAGAAGGCAACCCGCAGCCGCAAGACGTATGTATCCTTGGCAGCTCAGCTCAGAGCCACGGAAACTGGTGATATAGAGCAGACTTATCCTTGGCAGCTCCGCAGCTCAGCTCAGAGCCACAGAACGAAGCTGATGATATAGAGCAAGAGGCAGCTCGCCGTCTCAGCTCTCGACTCCCCTCCGGACAAGTGACAATGTATGTGATCCTTCGGCGACACTAGTCGTCAATCTATATACAAATCCAGCGGCACAGAGCCCCTGCGGGTTGGCTTGTCGGCCACCCCTGCTGCCCGTTGCAAGGAACCGGCGGTTACTTGCAAGAAACCTCGAGCTCTCTCTCTCTCGATCAGTGCTCGCCGAGGCTGTGGCCTAGCTTTTGTTTGGCGACGACTTCACTGCCCCTGCCTTTAAATGCGTCTTCCTCGGCTTCACGGCTCAACCATATGTTTTTGATTGATGACATGGATCTAATCCATTGTTTTGCATTGCCATCCATTGGCGCGCGCTTCCATCACCTCAACTCCCACGAGATACACACGTCGTGGCCTTATTTGTTTAGCGTTCCGTCACGGCTTGGACTTCTGTGCTCACCGTGTGTTAGCTTAGCTGGAGCCAAAGGCCGGCATGGACACACGGACGGACTGGCAGGTTTATCTATTGCTTGTGGCAGCGTCGCGCGTGCTTCGGCACACTGCATCATTGGGAGGAAAACGTGCGACAAAGCAAAGGCCAGGGCCAGCGACGACGCGCCTCGGGCTGCGTTGTTTTCTGGTTAGGTCAGTCAGAGCAGGTAAGGCCGGACATGCGTTCTGATGACCAGACCATGGCCTCGTTTGATCAGATGCTCGTAGTTTGTTTATTTCACATGAACAACGCGGCATGGCTAAACAAAACGGAGAGCGGTTGAAAGATTCCGGTGATGATGCAGAGTAACAAAGATTATTCACACAATCACACAATCGACTTGCAAGGCTCCCTTCAATGGGATCACGCAAATTTCAGAGTTCAGACTCATGGAACGAGAACGGCATGCAGTTTTTTTTTCTCGAATACGCATGAGAGCTACACGTATCATTGTATTACAGAGAGAAAGCACGCAGTTTTTAGTTTGCCGGAATTAAAACGGAGAACTTGTAAAGAATATGCAACTATGCAAGAGGAATATCATTTTTTGCGCTGCTGGAAGTCACATCAGCTTGGAGTGGTCCGGGACAAATTTCCGTGTCGGACGTGGACAAGACGCGACTTGCAAAATTTTGTTTTCATGTAGTCTTTATGGACCATTTCTAGGTGTAATCATTCAGACGAGCAAATATTATTCTGGTAGTACAGCTGGTCTGCCCGATACAGGGTGTGATCCAGACTTCGGTTGGACTTGGCTACTCATGGCTAAGGGAAGTGCGTATGCATATGGAATTAGTAAACATCACATATGGATGCATTTGGAATATTAACCACACTAGCATGCAAAACTGGATTTCCACAAGCATCAAAAGTATCATAAGCGAAGTCTTCAGTCTTCACGGTCGAAGTTGACATATTAAAGGGAAATTCATGAAAATGCATTCATAATCAAAACCAAGAATACAAGGTAGAGCTTTTATGCTACCAAAAAATAGGAACAATTGTATTCAAGTTTCGTTTCTCTTTTCTCTATGTATTATATTACTGAAATAGATGCTTCCAGTGTTGAGTGCCCAAATTAAATGTTATCTCTATAGAAATCGTGCAGGCTCAGTTATAAGAATTCTAAGGAAACAAAGGACAAATATACATATAGGAACTTCAACTAGAAAGAACCACTATGCTCCTGGTACTAACCTCTCTGCTCTGAGAAGACGTGTTCTTCTTTTGCTGTAATAAATCAGATATTTCTTCATGATTTCTTATACTTGAATTATAATGTGTCAAATGATGTTTGCTCCCGGTTCTCAGATGCAAGTACTGCAGAGCACAAGGGCAAAACTTAGTCCTCCAAAAATAGTTTGCTCTCAGTTTCAGTCAAACATGTCTTTTGTTGACAGTTTAACAGTGGAAGCACTTACCATAGCCTATAACAGGACTTATTTGTTAATAACATAACCGTGCATTCCCATTTTCCATCGAATCGAGGCCCTACTGGGAAAGGGCATAAATAAACATAGAAAGATGCTCACCCATGTGCTAAGTATGGCGTTTGACAAATGATTCGACAAGTGGATTTACAAGCTCAGGTGCTTCATCCTGCAAGACAAATGCAAACAAATAAAACAGCAGACTCCAGATGCTAAGGTACAAAACACTAGGCAGATGTCAATAGATAATACAGTAGCTGAATAAATTAATCTGTTACAAAGAGGACCTGAGGGCAGTGTCCAACATCTGGCAAGACAATAAAATCTTCAACTGTATCAAAAGATGAATAGGCTCTTCCAAGCTCAACAGGCTCCCATGGGTCCTTCTCCCCATGCTACCAAAACCGGACACTACACAAAACAAAAAGAAAACCCACATAATTTCCAAAATCAAAACGAACTATTAATCACACAACTAAGATCATCCGAACCTTGACCAATGGAAGTAACTCTTCAGGTAGAGGTCCTCCAGAGTAGCAGATGAACTCAAGAAATACATCCACTGCTCCAGGATCAAGCCCAGGCTGTAGAATAATCTGAACTAGCTCATCTGTCACTGCAGATGTGTCATGATAACACTGCAGAAAGTTTAGTTAGAACCAGAAAAGCATAAAAGTTGAAGTGTATGCAATCTAAAGGTATAACTACCTATCATTAAAGAAGCAAAAAAAATCACGTTCTATACTTACAATGAAACAAAAGGATCTCCATGCTTCAGCAAAGGAAAAAGAAAATTTAAAGAGTTCTTCGGTTGGATGATTGTTTCTTATTGAGTTGCATACAATGACCAGTTCAACCAAAAGTTTATGGTACAGAGGAAACATGCACAATGCACTCATACTTCAACGCTCCCACTCACTTGTAGGCTCCCTTAAGCTTAAGATGTCGGATAGAAGTGTGCTATAACTTTTATTTAAATTGTTGTATCCAGGATATAATATAAACTATTAAATAGTATCCAGTATTCACCAACTAGTTCAGTCAAAGGTCTAAGCAAAATGAGGAAATGTGGGCAATAAACTCATTTGACAACATTTTGTTGTACAATGGATTTCTGAAGTGGGTAAACAAAAAGCATAAGATTTGAAACTGCTTTACGGTTTACACAATCTGATGCATATAGAAAAATATCGACTACAACATGTACGCGAGTATGTCCTCATATATCTGATTCAAAACATCACAACATATCATCTAGCAAACAGACTAACAATAATGTATTTACTCTAGTGCAAGCTAGACAATAAATAAAGAAAGTTATGCTACAATTTCAACAACGAAAGAAGAAGTGTTGAGGAACATTATTTCCCACTGTTCTCTAGGAGAAATAGTGAGTCATAAATTGTCGTGTTTCCATGAAGGGCGGGCCTGGTGCAAGCGGTAGAGTCTTACCGTCTGTGACCGGAAGGTCCCGGGTTCGAGTCGCGGTCTCCTCGCATTGCACAGGCGAGGGTAAGGCTTGCCACTAACACCCTACCCCAGACACCGCACAGAGCGGGAGCTCTCTGCACTGGGTACGCCCTTTTTATTCTAGACTAGATGGGGCCTGAAATTCAGTAGTTGGACTGAAATTTGGTGCAATGAAGTTCTAGATTGGAGTTTCTCTTCAGCACACTGATCTTAAGCTGTTCTACAGGGCACATCTATCCCCAAAGAAAATATTGAGCAGCAAAATGTCAAAATGACTTGGATGGGGCCTGAAATTCAGTAGTTGGACCGAAATTTGGTGCAATGAAGTTCTAGATTGGAGTTTCTCTTCAGCACACTGATCTTAAGCCGTTCTACAGGTCACATGTATCCCCAAATAAAATATTGAGCAGCGAAATGTCAAAATGACTTCCATTTACTTCAGATAGTGGGCGAGGCATCGATTTGTATCCTAAGTAAAACCTTGTTTTTTCTTTTTCCGCAGTTATTACATATGAGAAATGAGCATGTAATCCTCTCTCAGGCTCAGGGCATATTAAGATAAGGTAGCTCTTCTAAACATCTAGTTTACCATTATTGTTGTAGAAAAAACATTAGGGCCCTTCTCTGAGAGCTTGGGCTTGTGCATAAGACCTATCATAGACCTGTAAGTTGGCACATGACTTCACCATATAATAAAAGGGTTAAATTTATAAACTGAAAAACTCCGATTCATAAACTACATGTTTAAGCTTAAGCTAATGGTAGCTTTCAGCTCTACAAGCCCAAGCTATTGGTCCCAATATACTAGTGCAATGTTTTGTAACACATTTAGTTTCTTCAGACAAGTACGTTATCCTCAACATAAGATTGAATGTAATAGTATATTTTTTTAATGAAACTTTTGGAACTTCTCGCATTAGTATCACATGGCATAATATTACATATATCCTCTGAATATATTTTTACAATATGAGATGATAGAGAGGAAATACCTGGCAAAGAATATTTTTCACAGATTCCGGTGTAGCGACAGCATTAAAAAATAGCTTCCCAACAATAGTGTTCCTAGAAACCAGTAAATGCATTATAACAAGCAACTACCTAGCACCAAGATACTGTGATGGGAGTACAAAAATACAAGATACCTTAGGAGACTTTGAAAAGATCTGATGAAAGGCTTTCCAAACCATGGCTGCTTTTTTATATGAAGCATCCTTAGTGAAATATCCAATAAAACAATTCCCTTACATTTTTTAGGTTCCATAACGGCTGCCTGCAGACCAACAACCCCTACAGGATAGTAAGGACAGCACAAAGATTTAAGATACTCAAATCATATGTCAAATAATCACGAGATCAGTCTAATAAATCAGATTCACGAATTTACTCATTTCAGTAACAAATAAAATAAGAATATCAAGCTGGGGGCATCCAGCATTTCAATATTGGAAATGTGTCTTTCAACAGATTGCACGAAGTAACCAGTGTCGCTATGCTAAGACTACTGCATCAGTACCTCAAATATATTAGAAAATGGTTAATGTAATATATAACTAAACATAATGACAGTAAAGGTGCAATGAAAAGATAAATATGCTAGAAATTCTGACAAAAAAGATCTGGACCTCACCATGGTGACTGGTGGGTCCTAAATACGATTCTAATATAATCACTGGATGTTGTTAATAACCTTTTGAAATCCAAAAGATAAAGAGGTTAAGTCCCTTGTAATAAAGAGGTTAAATCCCAGTGAAACCATATAACTCCCTTGTAATAAAGAAATAGTCAAATATATTCGGAGTAACAGCAGTGCAGCATTGGCAATAGTTGCCAAATCATGTGTGCATCTGGCATACCTCCAATTGAATTGCATATGAAGAAAGCTTCACTCTGGACCACTTCTGCACAAAATGTATTCAGCTGTTCTCCCCATGTCTCAAAAGTATAAAAGTTTTCCTCGATCTCACGTGGATTAGGCTTATCAGAATAGCCATAACCAATTAGATCCAACGCATATACCCTGTGTGCCATGGCTAGAACAGGAATATTTTTCCGCCAATGGTCACTGAAAAAAAGGAATATGTAGATCACTGCAAAGCAAAGGTAGCTAATAACTTTCAGAGAGACATATGCGTGGTTAGTTAGCATTACTTTAGTCTCATACGGGTACAGAGTAACTTTGAAGAAAAATAATCAGAAAATTTTCGATGCAATAGGTCAACAAAACTTCTCTAAAAGCTGGATTATCAAATGAATATAAGTTCTCACGTACCTACTAAGTTAATGGGCTACTTTCCCCGGTCCATTCTACATTTTTGCATACCGTTTTTTTTTAATGCATCTCTGCATACCTTAGCACTAAGCAGTCCACCAGCGAAAAGTGTACCAACAGCTAAGGAACATTTGCTATTATGCTATTAAGAAATGCAGTTGCTTGCAAATTTGGAGACAGATATGGAACAGAAACACTCAAACACGGGTTATCTGTGTATGACACACACCTGTTTGCCCCGAACCCGTGAATGAGAACCAATGCAGGGCCTGATGTCCCAGCGTACTGGTAGCGAATGTTGTAGCCCTTCCATTTCCATGTGCTGCATGCAGACGAAGAAAGGCAGCAATCAACGATAAGCAACACAAGTCGCGATATCCAAAACAATGGAACCGCAATCGGACCCCAGACGTCACGTCGGGCGCGGCGGTGCCTACCCGGTGCTTACTTGGGGCTGAGGCTCCACTGGTGAGGACGCGTCGGCCGAGAATGGAACGTCCGCGAGCGGCGCGACTGGGGGTCTCTCCTCTACTGGGTCCGCCTTGAAGCCAGAGGCCACGACGCGCAGGCTGGAGCGTGGCGCGCCTCCCGTGGAGGGTTTAAAACGCCTGTAGAATCCCGGCGGGTGGGGCCCCACAGCGAACACCACGCGGGCCGCCGTGGCGCTGCGGTGAGCGGGGAGGGGGCTGGGAGGAGCCGCGCAAGCCATACCGCCGCGCCGCGCGTACGATGGTGCGTGGAGAGCAGACAGCCGAGACCGGGGAAGGAGGAATCGGTGAGACGGAGAAGCAACGCAACGGGCGCGCGTGCGGGAGGGAGCTCCTCAACCATTGCCCATTGGTGTTCGTTGTTTCGCCGCGTGGGCGAAACGAGACGGCAGGAGGCGAGCGGGGTCGGGTTTGGTGGGCCCTCGAGTAGCGGACCGAAAAAAACGGAAACAGAAATTGGATAGGGCTCTAGCCCATCTCGTTTTACTGGGCTTAAAGGCAGGCCGCATGGGCCCACTGGTTGGCTCATCTGCGGGCCGCCGACCGCCGTCCGCCGATAGGAGCTCTAGTCCAATAAATCCCCCCGGCTCTTTTTCCTTTGCCGCTCTCCAATTCGACTCAAACAAACGGGCACAGGTGAGAGAAGGAGAAGGCCATGTCGGCGGCGGCGCAGCAGCAGAAGGCGGCAGCCTCGACCTCGGCGGCGGGAGCGGAGCAGGAGGAGGTGGAGCACGGGCCATTCCCCATCGAGCAGCTCCAGGTACGGACCCGGCTCCCCTCGCCTTTCGCTCTAACCCTAGCCGGCTTCTTGGGTCCGGTTCTTGTTCCCCTCGCGCCGGAATGGGTGGGTTCTCCGAGAGTCGAGGCTTTCTTGAGGCTCTGTCTCCGTGTGAGGAGGGAATGGAGGTGGATTTCGTCGCGCCGGAATGAGGCGCTGGGTTTTTGGCCGAAGAAATGGGAGGTTCTTGAATCGTTTGTTCCTCCCTTCGTGGAGCCAAGGGTAAGTCTTGGATATTCCGGTCCGCACGCAGATGAATTAGCATTGGGTTTTCCCAGCTATTGCTGCGGTTTATTGAGTGCGAGGACGTAGGTTCTTGATTGATTAACTCGCTTTTTCCCGTGAATGACGGCAAGATTATGAGAGATTTTGGAATTTCCAGTTCATGCGTGGTTGAGTTGACATTGTGTTGGGTTCATAAACCCGGGTCCCTCGGGGACCGGCTTCCACACCAAGGCTCGACCCGAGAGTCTAAAAACAACAGGGCAAAGGGGCGGTCCAGCAACCGATCGGAAGGCTGGCCCAAGAAGAGCAACGCCCATTTCGTCGCTACTTCGCCCACCTATCCGACTGGAGCGCTCGATTCGGGCTCCAGCCGCCTCGGACGGCCTCTCTCGATCGGAAGGCCTGCCCCGAGCCCTACTTTCGATTCCGACCCGCGTCTCTCCGACGGGGCACGTAGAAGGCTCTGCCGCCGCTTCTTCTCCGACCGGGCGCAACCAAAGCCGATGGGGCCATCCGACAGGGACGCCCACTCCGGAAGGAACCGAGGACGAACGGAGAAAGCAAAGACACGAAGTCAAACCACGTGACAGGACCATACCAGACACACTCATGGAACAAGTGTTCCACAACCACCCCCGACACACAACAGTGATTGTAGGCGCCGACATTTATCCCTACGAGATTGTAGGCGTCGTTGGACTCCCGTCTGGCAAAAAGCCCCTCACATGCCTCACGGGCATCAATGGTGTTGCAGCGCCGGATTCACCATACCCCCGTAAGCGTGGTGAGACTCCTCACATGCCTCTAGGCATCCAGCAGATATTTTTGAATGCAAGCGTCAACCCTTCTCGAAGAAGACAACACAACCTCTCACGTGCACCTGACATTCTACAGTGACATCAACAGTGTTGTGGGCGCCTACCATTATCCAATTCTCATCGGCGTGGGCAACAAGGCTTAAAAGCATCCGTACCCTCTCCCTCTCACCTGTAAAGCCATCTCCTTCATCTATAAAAGGGGATGCACTCCATCCAATAGGAGGGGCCGATTCATTCAAGCTCAGTTCCTTTAGATTCATTAGTCCAATAGCTCACAACCACATAACCGCCAGGTTCGGACCTCAAGCACACGCTTGAACACTTAGCTCATAGCGGAGTTCCCGTCGCTCTCGGCCCTTCCGACCAGAGCCGACCGGGCCTCTGGTACCCTCCATCTTTCTCCTTCTCGTTTGTAACCCCACTGCAGACTTCGAGCACCTGGGCTCGGGAATAAAGTCACCAACCGACCTAATCTGGACGTAGGGCACGTTGCCTGAACCAGTATAAATCCCGTGTCATTGAATGCTAGGCCACCTCCGATCACAACGTACAGCAAAACTACAAATATTCACTAGTTGGTCACTTTCTGTACCGACACATTGTCTCCGCTGATTCTTGGTTCCGAGAAACTAGGTTCTTGATAATTCGCCACTTCACAATGAATGGCGGTCAAGCTCGAGCGTTTATTGCTGTTTCGATGTGTTTGCTGTTGGCCGAAACAAGCTTTTGGAAATGGAAATTCTAGCCCCTGCCTCTTCATTCAGGGTGTGAAATGGGAATTTTTCTTGCAACTTTTGGTGGCTTGCAGTTGCAGTCCACTTATGTTGGGGTTTTCCTGGGTTTGTTTGGTACTTTGGTCCTTGGCTTCCTACCACGGATTGCACAATTTGCAGTAGTAAACAGTGTCAACCTTTAGTACATTCATTGCTGCACTAAGATGACGTGCTTTCAATTGGAGTCATAACTTGGCTCTCGAGTGGATTCATGGGACATGGGTAGTTGCTTCTGAAATCTGCTTCAAAAATGAAGCGTGAAGTCACCATCCTGTATTTTGTGAGAAATGCTCTTCTGTTAGTTGAATTTTCTGTGCCTACATCATTTCAGATGAAGTCAGTTTTTTCTTATCAAACACCTTCTCAAAAGGAGGAATTTGTTGCCTGAACTATATTGGCCTGTTAACTAATACATGGCACAATTGTAGTTTATTGCTTCATTTTTTTTATGCTCAATATACATTAGCAAAGGCTCTTATGGTTGTATTTTGCAATTTTTTTATTTCCCTTGTTTAAGTGCCATTTAGGTAGCTGACTAACTGTGACTAGTTTCTTGAAACATAAAACAGGTCTGTTGCTTTGTTAACATTAAATTTCTGTGTAATTTGTGGTCTAGGCTTCTGGAATAGCTGCATTGGATGTGAAGAAGCTGAAAGATTCTGGTCTCCACACTGTGGAGGCTGTGGCGTACACTCCAAGGAAAGATCTTGTGCAGATCAAAGGGATAAGTGAAGCTAAAGTTGACAAGATAATTGAAGCAGGCAAGTAATATGGGACTGTATATGTATTGAAACTGTATTGAGGCTATGTTGTATGGAAGTTGTATTGCACACTATCGAACTCATAACTGTCAGCAAGCTTTTTGCAGCATCCAAGATAGTTCCACTGGGATTTACAAGTGCCAGTCAACTTCATGCACAGCGGCTGGAGATTATTCAAGTTACAACTGGATCAAGAGAGCTTGATAAGATCTTGGAGGGTAATGAGCTTGCATATTCCATGATATTAGTTTCCATAGACGATTGTACTATAGCAAGTCACAGTGATTACTGATTGAGCATTCTGTTATGACATACCTGCAACAGGTGGGATAGAAACAGGATCTATCACTGAGATATATGGTGAGTTTCGCTCTGGAAAGACTCAGTTGTGTCACACCCTTTGTGTTACATGTCAGGTGACATTTTTATCTATCCACCCCTTTTCCATTTCATTCCTTAATTGTTCTGTTGGTCTCAATTATGTAAACCATCTATATTGCAGCTTCCACTGGACCAGGGTGGTGGTGAAGGAAAGGCTCTATATATTGACGCAGAGGGTACATTCAGACCACAAAGGCTCCTGCAGATTGCTGACAGGTTATACCTAAGACCCACTTATTATTTTGGATTATAACGTAACTTTGATTGCTAAGCGTGCACATGCTGGAATCTAGGTTTGGACTGAATGGTGCTGATGTGTTAGAGAATGTGGCTTATGCCAGAGCTTATAATACGGATCATCAATCTAGACTTCTGCTGGAGGCAGCTTCCATGATGATAGAGACCAGGCAAGTCCAACTTTTAGTTTTGAATCTACTACATGTGAACTGTCTGTTACTTTGAGCACATAACAAATATAAGCATGATTTACTTACTATAGTTAGGCGAGCAGCAGTTGTGCCCTAGGTAAATATTAAAAATTGTTGGGTTATCTTTCTGCTTATGAATCAAAGGTATTGATCCTTTGTAGCCACATCGGTTCCATGTGACATTAAAATATACATGCGCCTCTTGTACTGAACTGAACTGAACTTCACTATTTTTTACAGCTGTAGTATCGTGAGTTTTCAATCTATGTGCATTGAATAAGAATGTCCCAAATTTATTCATGATACATTGCTCTTCATGCCACCTACAACAACAACAACAACATAGCCTTTCAGTCCCAAGCAAGTTAGGGTAGGCTAGAGTTGGAACCCACCAAGAGCCCCAAGTCACGGTTCAGGCACTTCAATAGCTGCTTTCCAAGTACTCCTATAGTCCTATTTAAATATAGATCTCTAGGTATATCCTAAGTTTTCAAATATCTTTTTATTGTCTCCCCCATATCAATTTCGGTCTTCCTCTATCTCTCTTCGTATTATTAGCTTGACTTCGGACTCCACAATGCACCGGTGTCTCTGGAGGTCTCCTTTAGACATGGCCAAACCACCTTAACCGATGTTGGACAAGCTTTTCTTTAATTGGTGCTACCTCTAGGCGATCACGTATATCATCGTTCCGAACTCGGTCCATTCTTGTGTGACCGCAAATCCATCGCAACATACGCATTTCTGCAACACTCAGTTGTTGAACATGTCGAATCTTTGTAGGCCAACATTCTGTTCCGTACAACCTAGCCGGTCTAATCGTCGTTCTATAGAATCTGCCTTTTAGCTTTTGTGGTACCCTCTTGTCACAGAGAATGCCAGAAGCTTGTCGCCACTTGATCCACCCTGCTTTGATTATATAGCTAACGTCCGCATCAATATCTCCATCCCTTTGTAACATCGATCCCAGATACCGAAAGGTACCCTTCTTAGGCACTACTTGACCTTCCAAACTCACATCTCCCTCCTCCTGTACAACTCCGTCAAAGTCGCATCTCATGTATTCGGTTTTATTTCTGCTCAATCTAAAACCTTTAGACTCAAGGGTCTACCGCCATAACTCTAGTTTCCTATTTACTCCCGCTTGGCTTTCGTCCACTAACACTACATCATCAGCGAATAACATACACCAAGGGATATCCCCTTGTATGTTCCTGGTAACCTCATCCATTACCAAGGTAAAGAGATACGGGCTTAAGTCTGACCCTTGATGAAGTCCAATTTTAATCGGGAAGTAATCTGTGTTACCATCATTTGTTCGAACACTAGTCACAATATTGTTGTAAATGTCCTTGATGAGGGTCACGTACTTTGATGGGACTTTATGTTTGTCCAAAGACCACCACATAACATTTCTTAGTATCTTGTCATAAGCCTTTTCCAAGCCAATGAAAACCAAGTGGAGGTCCTTCTTCTGCTCTCTAAACCGCTCCATAACCTGTCTTATTAAGAAGATTGCTTTTGTGGTTGACCTTCCGGGCATGAAACCAAATTGGTTTGTTGATACCTGCGTCGTTCCTCGCAGGCCCTGCTCGATAACTCTCTTCCCCCCTAACTTCATAGTGTGGCTCATCAACTTAATTTCCTGATAATTAGTACAACTTTGAATATCTCCCTTGTTCTTGTAGATTGGTACCAATATGCTTCTTCTCCACTCCTTAGGCATCTTGTTCGATCGAAAGATATTGTTGAACATCTTGGTTAGCCATACTATAGCTATATCCCCGAGACATCTCCACACCTTGATTGGGATACCATCAGGGCCTATCACTTTGCCCCCTTTCATCCTTTTCAAGGCTTCTCTGATCTCCGATTCTTGAATCCTCTGCACAAAGCGCCTGTTAGTGTCATCAAACGAGTCGTCCAGCTGAACGGTGGTGTTCTCGTTCTCACCATTGAACAATTTATCAAAATACTATTGCCATCTATGTTTGATCTCATCCTCCTTCACCAAGAGTTGCTCCCTCTCATCCTTTATGCACCTGACTTGGTTGAAGTCCTTTGTCTTCCTATCGCGAGCCCTAGCCATCCTATAAATGTCCTTATCTCCTTCCTTCGTACTCAAACGTCGGTAAAGGTCCTCATAGGCCTGCCCCTTTGCCTCACTCACCGCTCGTTTTGCAGTCTTTTTTGGCACCTTGTACTTCTCTATGTTGTTTGCACACCTGTCATGATACAAGCGCTTATAGCACTCCTTCTTTTCCTTAATAGCCTTTTGCACATCTTTATTCCACCACCAAGTGTCTTTCGAGTCGCATCTGCTCCCTTTGGTCAAGCACCTCTGAAGCAACCTTCCGAACGCATGTTGCCATCTTCTCCCACATGCTGTTTGCATCGCCTTCGTCATTCCAAGGGCCCTCTTCAATGACCTTTTCTTGAAGACCTTTGATGCCTCTCCTTCTAATTTTCACCACTTCGTTCTAGCAATCCTAGCTTGTTTGTTCCTACGAGCTTGCACCAGAAAGCGGAAGTCAGCCACCACCAGCTCATGCTAGCTAACTAGTCAAAATATAATATGGTTAGCCAGTTGATGTATATTTAGCATATCAAACCTTGCAGGACATACTGCTAATTAATTGCATACTATGGTTAGGCTGTATATACCAAAGCAGTGGTCACTAGCATGATAATGCTGCCTCACAATCTTATCACATCAACCAATACAGAAACCAGTTAATTTTTGTTGCTGCAACTGCAACTATGTTGAAGTGTTTTTTATTAACTCTGCTTGTAAATGCTTTTTTGCTGCATTCTTAGACATATCCATATGACTATATAGCTGATGCCTGTTTTCAATATATGCTTATTTACGAATCTCATGGTTTCCATATGACTAATAATAGCAGACCTAGCTGTTGTTCTGAATCTCTACATTTGCAGGTTTGCTCTCATGGTTGTAGACAGTGCCACAGCTCTGTATAGAACTGATTTCTCAGGAAGAGGGGAGCTATCAGCGAGGCAAATGCACATGGCTAAGTTCCTGAGGAGCCTTCAGAAGTTAGCAGATGAGGTCAGTTGTAAATTAGCATTCTTTATTTTTCGTCATTGAGAAAATTGTAGCCTTTTACCTTTATTGCTATGTCTTAGCTTTCATTCAAAAGAAAATTATGTTTACATTATTTGGATATCCATCATGGTTGTTCAATTTGTTTAAATTGATTTTATTGGTCACTGCAGTTTGGAGTTGCTGTGGTTATCACCAATCAAGTAGTGGCACAAGTGGATGGATCTGCTATGTTTGCTGGACCGCAGTTCAAGCCCATTGGTGGAAACATCATGGCTCATGCTTCGACCACAAGGTGCATTGCTCTGCCAGTTGATCATAATAACTAGTTATCTATATTCCAATGTCGGTTCTATTCCTATCTACTCTTCCTTAAAATGTCAGTGATGTCTCTACAGGCTTGCTCTTCGCAAGGGACGAGGGGAGGAGCGGATCTGTAAAGTAATAAGCTCTCCCTGCCTGGCTGAAGCCGAAGCAAGGTTTCAGTTAGCTTCTGAAGGTGTTGCAGATGTCAAGGACTGAGACCATATCTGCTTACAGGCATATTCAGATCCATTGCTGGTCTGCTGTCTGATTTGTCATTCCTTGGGTCAACTTCTGTGTTGCCCTCACCTTGATGTACAAAACAGTTGCCTTCACAGATGTGACTGCACGCCTGTGACTGATCTAGGCGTCCTGTTGTAAATAAAACGATGCCTGTTGCCCTGTTGTGTGTTGCATGTAATCTGACAACTCCAACAAATATTGACACAATTGTAGTTATGATGTATCAAATATCAGCTCAGTTCCCATTTTGGGTTTTATTGTTCGCTTAGCACAGCAAATGCTGGATGTGCAGTGTGGACAAGAATCCACAGAACGACAGTGATCGATCTTGATAAAGTAGTTAGTGAATATGACAATATGTGACTCCAGCTGACACTACCCTGAGTTCTTGACTATTGGTGCAGGTTGCATTATGGTAACCTTTGAGTTCACTTGTGATAAGAACAGGCTTATGGGGAAAACTAACTTGTGATTGGAACAGGTTTGACGTGGAAAACTATGGATTCTGTATGATTGGCTGTTGTCTGACCATTTCCATTGTTTCTTCAGTTAATGAAATGTTACCATCACATAAGACATGTTTATAATTTGTTTACAAGACATATTTATGTACATCTTTTTCTTTTCTTTTCTTTTTTTTTGGGGGGGTGGTGCAGAGGGCAGAAAATAGGAATTTATTTTGTGGCCATGCATGTCAAGATTGAAACACCAGTTTTCGTCCAATCGCCTTGCAATTAAGTTTTAAAAATGACTATTCACCACCTTCTAGTTGGCCATCTCGAGTTCTTGACTACATGACACTTGTGTTGTCATCAAAGTCACTTGAAATTCTACACGATATGAGTCATTAGTGAAGACTAACTATAACAAATAGCAAGAGCGTATACTAGTAAACAAACATCAAAATAAAACCATATAAGATCCAAATAATTTTAATCTATGCACCATACTCCCTCCATCCCGGTATATAAGACGTAACCACCTCTGATTCAAAGACCAAGGAACATATTTAATTCTCTCTCTCAACACTGGTATTACTGCATCGATATACGTGTGTCTAAAGAGAGCATGCCTTATATTATGGGACTTGAATAAAAAGTGGGTTACGCCTTATATATTAGGACAGAGGGAGTAATATAGAGCATTTTATGAAAAATATAAAAATGGTTTCATTTTTTGAGCTAAAATAATTTTCCTATGATTTTTCTAAGATTAAACAAATTTTATGATTTTAACTTCATATTTTTTTAAAAAGTATTTGGGTAGTTTTTTAATATTTGTTTTTTTGTAACTTTTTTGGTAAAGTCTATTTGACCCCTGTCGACATAATATCGTCGGCAGTCCTCCGAGGGGTATCCCACGAAGGTAGATTGATCGGCAGAGAAGCGTGTGATCAAGAACAAGAAGGCAACAGAGACACACGAGTTAGACAGGTTCAGGCTGTCAGTATGACGTAATACCCTACTCCTGTGGTCTGTTGGTTTGTATTAGCTATCGTATGATATTGCGTGAATTTAGAGGGGGTCCCTGCCCGCCTTATATAGTCCGGGGGGCAGGGTTACAAGTCGGTTAGATCTGAGAGATAACCGGAAAGTAATAACAGATTACAGGAAACTTGGAATCAAACACATCCTAACAGATCTCGTAGTATCTTGAGGATATCTTCTCGGTGTCTTGCGGGAGACGCCGAGCAGAGTCGTGCCCCGCAAGGCTTCGTCTTGTGGGCTGGGCCGCCCCTGGGGGCGCATCGCATGTGGTCTGCCATGGGTATCCGGGGTCGTACCCCCCACAGCTAGTCCCCGAGCACCTTGTACCCGTTGTGCAACGCCATCTTGAGCTTGTCCGAGCAGACGCGCAACAAAACCGAGCAGTCAAATTCATGGCCCGACCACCGTGATGAGTTGCCGAGCAGTTGTGGGCAGTGACCGAGCAGCGTGAACTGTCGCCGAGCAGCGTGAACCGTAGCCGAGCAGTATAACCCAAGTACGGCTTGCCATAAGGGTGTAAGGAGCTCAAGTTCAGAATCGAAAATTTTCTTCACAGTGGACCAAGTGTGCCCACTTAGAGTCCGACCACGAGAAAAGGAGGTAGTCTTCTTCAGCTTCAAGAGACGCGGAGTCTTCCAGATTTAAGCAAACACACTCACCGCAAGGTGAAGTGTGCCCACTTAGTCCCCGAGCCTGACAGTAGATGACGTAATCATATGGTGCCAGGGTCTAAAGTAGAAGAATAGTAAAAGACCAACTGAGCAGGCAGCTAGTTCCCGGGCATAGCCCCGAAGTGAGAAAAGGCACATTCACCGCAAGGTGAAGTGTGCCCACTTAGTCCCCGAGCCTGACAGTAGGTGACGCAGTCACGTGGTGCCAGTGTCAGAAACAACAGTCAATTGAAAAAAAATCCCTAATGTGGTGGGGAACTGAGACACAATACTGATGCAGTCCCCGAGCCACTTTAGGAAATCTTGGAGAAAACAAACCACGGAGAAAATACCGGAGTAATGGCTGTACAGTAGTAATTACTGAGCCGTAACGATTGGCGGAGAAGTCGGCGAAAATTCGGCTGGCCGTAACAAATTGTGGAGATAAATCGGTGATACGGGCCGCGGTTGCGCGAAAGCCTAGGTAACGGACCACCTTGCTGTTGCAGAGAATTCGGAGAGGCGTAAATCATGGGAACGGTTTCCCAAAAACCCTCAAATGCAAAAGGGAGGGAAAAGTGTTTTATACCTGCGCCGCCGCATCCCGTGTTCCCACCTTTGCCACTTTGCCATTTCATCTTCCTCCTCAGCCCTCGCATTTACAGATTCGCATCCACACTTGCTTCCGCCACCAAACCCTAATCAGATCTGAGAGATGGCGCCGAAGAAGGGAGCTATGAAACCAAAGAAGACGAGCCCCAAGAAGGCGAGCGCCGAAGCCTGGTGTGACGAAGAGTGGGTGCCGTCGCGAACGGGAGAGGCGGAGCTCAACAGATTGGTGGAAGCGGGCGTTCTGCCTGACCGCGTGACCGTCGGATGGCGACCAGCCCTCGGTGAGCCCTTCCCCATGCCTCATACCGATGAAGTGGTGGTATTTGAGGATTATTTCTGGCCCGGGTTGGGATTTCCCGTCCATCCATTCCTGAGGGATCTGTTGAAGCTCTAGGTGGTTAGTCTGTGCAATCTCCACCCAAATACCATTTTGCACATCTCGATCTTTATCCATTTCTGTGAGGCATATCTCGGAATCCTTCCCCACTTCAACCTCTTCCATCACCTGTTCTGGCTGAAGAAGAGAGGCGACGGTGGTTTCAAAGTGGTCGGCCGAGTGTACCTTCAGCTGCGTGATGGAATGGCGGGCGAGTACCTTACTGTGCCACTGAACACGTCGCTGAAGGGGTGGAACACCAGGTGGTTCGACATGAAGCAGAGCCACCCAGCCGTCCACTGCGACACCGACCACATCCCGGAGAGCCAGAAGAGCTGGTCGGAGTTGCCAAGCAGTGCTGATATGGAGCAAGTGAGGGAGCTCCTTGGATTAATAAAAGGCGTGAAGACCAAGGACGGATTGGTGGCGGCGAGTTTTATAGTGCGTCGCGTTCAGCCCTGTAAGGAGAGGGCGCACCCAGCCTTCGAGTTCAAGGGGGAGACCGATGATACTCGGGAGAGGCTGAAGATGCTGTCGAGGGATGTTGTGGAAGAGCGGGCTGCAGAGCTATTCGCTCCGTTTGCCTCCTTCAGCATGTCAGGGTATACGAAACCCTTTAACTGCAAGAATCTGTCTCCTCAGGTAAATATCTCGGTTGTGCATTCCTGATGCTTTTTATCTTTTGTCGTTGTCGAGTAGTGGACTGATTCACTTATGCAAAGATCCACTCGTAGGAAAAGAGCGGTGTACTTCTCGGGCGTGCCGAGGAGCGATTGGCCGAAGGGAGTAGACACCCGGCCAATGCCGTAGCCTGAGGAGAAAACAGTCAGCATCTCGTCGGAGAGTCCATCCCTGATGTCGAAGAAAATCCAGGGAAAGAGGGCAGCGGTAGACGAGCCGGCCTGGAAGAAGAGAAAGACGGCGGGTACCGCTCCCGTCAAGCCAGGCGGCATCTCGCTTGGTGGTGACCATACCACTCGGACGCGAAGGACCGCGGTGTTCGAGTGGTCGGATGACGACGACGTTCTGGTGGCTCCTCCACCGAGCACGAAGGCGCCTCCACGCAGCGCGCGCATGGAGGAACAATCGATGGGAGGGGAGGAAGTTCCCAAAGAATGGGTGACAGAAGTCCCCGAGCAGTAGGCTAGGGGAGCCCCAGAGCAGCAGGCGGAGGACCACGGTGTTCGAGTGGTCGGATGACGACGACGTTCTGGTGGCTCCTCCACCGAGCACGAAGGCGCCTCCACGCAGCGCGCGCGCGGAGGAACAATCGATGGGAGGGGAGGAAGTTCCCAAAGAACGGGTGACAGAAGTCCCTGAGCAGTAGGCTAGGGGAGCCCCAGAGTAGCAGGCAGAGGAAGTCCTCGAGCAGCAGGCGAGGGGAGCCCCAGAGCGGCGGGCGGAGGAAAGGCCAACGGCAGAGACTGTAGGACCTCCACCCCAAGACGTGGGAGTCGACCCCAAGGCCACGGCTGGGGGCTCTGGTAGGCACCGCCGGTTCAAGAAATTGTACCGGCAAACCAAACTGTAAGTATCCTTGTCTTGGAGTTACTTTGCCGTCGTTCCTTAGCTTTTTTGGTGACGGACGAGCTGAACTGAGGCAGTGCAAGGCATGTGGAGGATTTGACCCCGCCTGTCCAGACTGTCGAGCAACCGAAGGCTAGTCCCGGAGCGGAGGAGGTGGCGGTAGACCCCATTCCGAAGTCCCCGGGTGCTTGGCAGTCTACGGAGGAGTCAGCTGCCGCTACTGGTGAACTTGGTGGCGGCAAACATTTGGCACCGACGGCGAACGAGTCGACGACGGTGCCTGGGGCAACAGCGGAAGCCGCCGGGTCTTGAACGGCGAATGCG